GTGACGAAGCCTTGAAACAACGGCAGTGTCAGAATTAGCTTGTTCGTTCTGGTGATTTTTCACTTAAAGATGAGGAACGTCTTGTTGTCCAGTTGGATTTGATGACGACCTTATCAAAGCAGTAATCGATTCGGATCGTCACAGTACAACACGTGAGATCGCAGAAAAGCTCCATGTATCACATACATGCACGCATTTAACGCAATGCATCAACAACTGCGATTTGCTTAAAGGCAGTTGGCACGATGGTTTCCTACTTAGCCTAAAATGCTAGTAGGGCGCTGTATAGTGGGGAAATGGCGAAAGAACGGAGTGAAACGGTCAAAATCCGGCGAAGAAAAAGCCTCCGTTCTCAGTGACTTGTAAATCGATTTCGGACGAGTTTCCCGTACGCATCTTGCCAATCACCGCTACCGAAGATACGGCTGCATTATGGTGTACCCGTTTGTTATGCATGACAGCACGGTCGCATCCTTTCCAATCCTTCGCCTTCATAATTTGCTCAGCAAATGAATGAATACGAGCGTCAGAAACGGTCGTCCGTTTGTGGGCGGGCGGGCAAGGAAGGCGTTTGGGACGTAAAGTTGTTGCTCAATAGGGCGTTATAGGAGTACCCTCCTTGGAAAAGGCTTCACGCAGCGACTGTCCGAGGTCACGGAATCTGTTAAGTCAGTTGTGCAAATCTCACACCTGTATAACGATTTATCGTGCCAACTGCCTTTAAGAACGAACGAAATGACCATTTTTGAACGATTGATTTAATGGCGATGAATTGGGTTGTTTTACAAATATTCAAGCGGAAAGACTGGCTGGAGCAAGCCAGGTGAACAAGCTGAAACAACATCGAAAGCTGATATTCATCAAAAGAAGGTTTTGTTATCAGTTTGGTGGGATTACGATAGAAGTGTCTACTTTGAACTCTTACCATCCAACCGATGGATCAATTCTGATGTCTACATTGAACAACCAACGAAATTAAACAATGCTGTCGAAGAAAAGCGGCCCGAATTGACAAATCGAAAAGGTGTGGTATTCCATCATAATTGTGCAAGGCCACACACATCTTTGGCCACTCGGCAAAAATTATTGGAGCTTGGTTGGGATGTCTTGCCACACCCACTATATAGCCGTGACGTTGCAGCATCAGATTAATTTTTGTTTTCGCTCTTTTTACAAACTCTTGTAATGGTAAAATTTTTAAATAACGATGATGATGTCAAATCGCACCTGATTCAGTTTTTTACTAATAAAAACCAAAATTATGAACGTGGGATTATGATGCTGCCTGAAAGATGGCGAAAAGTCATTGATAAAATTGGGCAATACATTACAGAATAAAATTATTTCGTACCATGAAAAAATTGTCATTGATATTCTAAAAAAATCCGCAATTACTTGGTCGCCAACCTAATACAGTGCGTTTCACCACTATACGTCCACCCCACATTAAACCTAAAAAATTCTTCTCAAATGTGATCCAATTTTGTAGTGCACGTTTTCAGACTCTATGTATGGAAAAACCGAGGAAAAGCATAATTCTAGAAAAACGAGTATCTCTTAAAAATTTCTACAGGTGTTTTTCAAATTTTCCACCGTTTCACGCTATACGTCCACCTCTGATTTATGGCTCTGAAAATTTTCCCGTTTCAACGTTGGTGGTGATATATTCTTATCAAGGTAGACGACAACATGTCTCACTGTGATGCCACGCGGTCCCCGTCTGTCTTCGGAAGAAAAGGCCCAGATTCTGGCTCTCCACCAAGCCGCACTCAGCAATCGGCGGATTGCCAAGGGAATTGGCAGGACTCACTGCGTCGCCTGCTCCTACATCAGAAATCCTGAGACTTACGACAGTGGTGGAGCCAACGAAGACCAACGAAAGCTGTCCACCAGGGAAGAACGGCAAATATGGAAGAAAGCATCCAACAGCACATTGAGCTTGAAACGGCTCGAAAATCGGTTAAATGCCTATAAAAACCTCCATAAAGAATCTAACTTACTGAAAACATGTTTTCCAGTGTTTTTTATACGAGGAATTTCGTAATGTACACAACAGAATTCCATCACCGCTTCAAGAAATGTTTTCAGTAAATTGATGGTTGGACGTATACTGGTGAAACGCACTGTAGCTGCATTAGTTTATACTCGAACTCACTGAGATCGGGTAGGCGTGGCTACATTCCACAAAGGGATTGGTCAGCGGCAAAGACTTTACCCTTCTTCCTTCATAAGCTGACTAAGGGACGGCCGTGAATTCACTCTAAAAATCCATCAGGAACTCAAGCGAACCTATGATGGGACCTCAAGGGAAAAGCGATTTTTTCAATTTGATATAAGTAATGTGATCTATAACTATTTGTGAAGGTGCAGATATCAACGGTGGAAATTTGGTTGAAGGAACTGTGACGAACCACAGAGGAAGGGTATCAAAATAAAGCTCTTTTCCAAAAATCTTTATTATGAACTGTATGCCTTCAGTGCCCAATCACTTTAACACACATCAGAAACTGCGCCGAGAACATCATCATTTTCGTCCGAATCCGACAAATCTTCTATCGAGTAATCCTGGCGACTTTGGCCATTACCAGTATCGGAATAATCGGTGGCACCTGCCAATACATGGTGCGTACAATGGACAGAAACATGGCCGGTACGCCATAGATTCAAGCAACGAATTGTCGACGGTGTTTGACGTCAGTTCATCGTCTTCCGACGGCGTCGGTGCGTTGCGGCTCCTTCGTGGCGGAATGCTGCTGACAAGCCGTTCCAATTCCATGACGCGAGCTCGTGACGGACCCGATGATGTGGATGAACGGGCTTCGTCGCAGTCTGAAAATATTGCTTCAAATGAGACTTACTCTCGCTACAACGATTAAGCATACACTCAATCCCCATCAGACTAAATGGTCCCTTCGAAGTGATCCACGCGCTCGAAAATAGACCACTAAGCGTCTAGTTAGGTTAACCGTCATTCAGGTCATGTTCTTAAGGACAGTTTCTGGCCTGGTGGCATGGGCGGAATCACTTGGATCATGGTGCGTTCCTCTGATGGTCTCATTTGCTTCTTATTTGTCCGATCCTACTAAAAGAGTACCATCAATAAAAAAGTATCACCTTCCATATTCCACGTCGCCCTTACTGTTTTAATCCGCCCTTCAGTGCTAGACCGGTCCGCCACAGCGGCCATCGGCAGTTTAGCTAGTGTGTGTTTGCGGAACGTGCAGGAGATTAGGAGGTTCTACTGACTGTGTGAGTAGGGGTAATAAAGTTGAGAGGCCTGCGGTGTGGTCACAAAAAGTTGAAAGGTCTGGGGTGTGGTCACAAAAAACAATGTTGCTATTTTGTAACGCCTAATCACATTAGCCAGTAGCCTCCTAATTTCCTGAACTCTTCCAAAATTGCGCTAGCGGCCAGCGCTGATCAATACCCGTCTGTAGCAGTGAAGCGTGATGGTCACGGTAGCGCCGAAGCGTGTCACCGAGAAGTCTAAACGTGCTTAATCACAGGTAAATATGCCGACATTTAGGACCAGAAGTTGTGATGTTGAAGTTAGCCACGAGCAGGCACCTTTGAACAGGGTAGTCGCTTACGCTGGGATCCAGCGAGGCGAGTCGTAAGTGATCGCTTTGAGGAAGAACTTCGTATATCCCTCTGAGAAATATTTTTGGATCTCTGAATGGTTTTTTCCGGGGTTTCCAGTTTCATGTGCATGTGTGCTATTATTTCTCTACAAATTGGCAGCGTTTTTGGAGTATAGTAGGAAATAATCGCCGACCAAGAGCCGCGAAAAATGCATAGGGAATTAAGAGGAATCAATGAAGTAGGTACGATGGGATGTGGCGAGGGGGTTTCGTTGTTTCAGCAGAGGAGACACACTTAAGGGGGTGGGAGGGCGGGTAGTCGCATTACGCCAGAAGTTCTTTCCAGCTCAGATTTGACGCTCCAGGAATGAATGTATGACAGTTATTGCGTGGAATTGGTTTACCTGCTGAGATAAGTAGGGTCTGAGGCTTTTCAGCACTAGAGGGCTTTTCATCAGCTGAGCTGAACATGACCACGTGCTTGATTGAGACTAATTAGGGGGGAGAAGGGCGTACCTGGATTACACATGTAGCTTAGTTTAAAGTATGTTGTGTGGCCCTACAGGAAGAGAACCATAATCCTGTTGTCGATCAGGCGCGTTTGGTCCATGCTACGCGTCAAGGTGGCACTTGTCGGATGGTCATTCCCCGTGATAAGTGGATACGGCTTCGTCCTCTTCATGGAAGCGCCTTTACTTACGGGCCTAATGTCGAACATATGTGCATATGCTGTAATCTTAGCTGGACTTAAAGGAAAAGGTCAACTAGGCGCAGTTTATCGACGGGGCGCATTTTGCTTTCCATAGCAAGGGAAGCAGTGATAGTACAAAATGCACCCCCCCCCGTCGATAAACAGCGCCGGTCAACTAAATGCATTGAAGTGTCTAGTTATCGTAACGGAAAGAGTTCTGTTCATGCTTACCTCGAGAAATTGCTGTTTTCTGCCATTTCCTGGTACGAATATCTGAAATAAAGGAACCTATTGAAATGCAGAAAACCAGAATTTTTTGAAACAAAATTTCTCAGCATGAAACGATTTTTTATCAATCATCCTATGTTATTATTTCAAATTTTGCATTCCTCATTGATATCAAAGGGTTAAGTCTTCGCGTTGTCAGTTCGCCTTTGTGGGATTGCGCGTACCTTATTCTGTTTCCATCGAACGTCGCCTCGGATCAAAACCCTGGACCGCGCGAGTCCATAAGAGTGCCACCTGTCACTACACCACTTCCGCCTCAAGTAAGTAAGATGGCAAATATGAATCACTAAAACCACCTTATCCATATTACTGGCTCATCTTTACTGACTTACCCACAGTCCTTTTTTTTCTTTTACATCAAAAGGGCCCTCTATATACTGCTGAACAACTTAGCAGGCATTAGTCCAACACTTCAAAAAGAGCGGTTCTTCCGTCACGCCTCATCCTTCCTACCTGCCTATAATACGCCCCACCCCCTTTCCTCGCTGAGCGTTTCACAACGATGATGCACACAGAAATCCCAGATGGAGAAATTACGAACACTAAATTCCAGGCATGGAAAAAAGTCGTATGTAAGATTTTCGCTCTGAACATGAGCAGAAAGCTTGCGATTCTGCCTCTCTACATTATTTGAATAGGCTTGAATTAGAAAGATATGGTTTACAGATGAGAATTAAGAAAATCAGAGGAGCTTTACTTCACTGTTTACGTCGCTCTTACCTCATTAAGACCCCTTGATAAAAGGTCAGGGAACAGCGATCACGTAAATAGTTTCATGTCTTTCTACATGAACTACTTCTCCGCAGCTGAAGAAGTTGCATACCAGTATTGGAGGTAACAAAAGCTACACGGGGCCTCCTACCCACAAATTCCATAGGTTTTCATCCACACTCGCTGAAGCAACGAAATGCAGCACGGCGTTGTCGCGAAGAAAGTGGACGCTTGACAATGTGGCGGCAGGGAACTTTTCATGTTGAGGCACAGTCAAATCAGGGGGTAGTACAGATAGGGCTTCACGGGAGAGTGCAAAAGTCGCGTCACGAAGGAATCGGTTTCTTTGATTTGTCTCCGTTCCTGTTCTCAAAAATAATAATAAGGAATCAGTTAATCGCGCACTGATCCCGTTGCATAGTGTGGGCGGGGTCAGACAACGGCATTTCTTTTTTTTTGCCTTTCTCATTAGCACGCGAATTCCAATATTCCTTCGGCGGAAAAAAAGAAAAAAAAAAATAAAGAAATGCAAGCTTGTGGGAGGCACAATGATAGGACCAGCCCGAGCATATGCCCAGTATCAGTGGACCTTTTAAATATCACTGGGGACCCCAAACAGTTGCCGTAGAGCGGTGACCGGAGCAGTGTTCCGTAAAAAAGAGCCTCCCCTGGAAGGTGCTGTCTATAATGCTCTCGTGTTCAAACCCATCCATTCACAGACCAGTTTTGGCCACGCCTCCTCCTTCTCCTAACCTTACTCATTTCGTTCGTGAACGTGAAGTTCAAAATTGGCGTCATGGCGGAAAATCCTGAACGTCGAAAGACATTTCTTCTCTTCCGCCGGTGACCGCCATGGAAAAAGGATAAAAAGTGTGCTGAAGTCACCTTCATTCTTTGTTGGCGGTGAAAGGAGTGTAACGAGTTGAAGTTGATTATCCTTCTCTGCTAACAACATCACCACAGAATAGGACCGTAAATTGAATATTGATGGTGTTTGGGCAAAGTTTCAGCAAATGCCCACGTAGGTGTTTCCAGTGAAATCTAACTGCAGGATCAAAATCGTTATAGAATAAGAAAGGTCCTTTGCAGGGACATCCCTGGTATCTACCGCTTAGACTATTGAGGCGTTGAGGGCGCAATTGGCATCATAGCAATAGGTAGGTATCGGAGCAACCATGTAGCCAGGGCACGCCATCGCGTTGTGGTAAAATCCTGCAAAATACGACCCCGACCCCTAATTCCATCCTCTGGATACGACCCCCTAACTCGCGGTCAAATACGGACCCCCCCGCCCCCCCCCCCCGTTGTGTTCACAACGGGCTGCCCTGCAGTGTAGCTTCGTATGGGCATAGCCGACTCATAAATGAGAGAAAATGAAATGCAACTCGAGTGAGAAAATATTGAAAACACTCCATTAAAGTCCCTTTTTTCGATCATCGACTTTGATATGTTCTTGTTAACTTTTCTTTATTCAACAAATACGGACATCCTTATTTTGGAAAAAGATCCAGCCGAAGGGCTGAAGAGTACACAGATGAGCTGAGTCGCCATTTCTTGCGTGGCGCTTGCGACAGGCGTCTTACACGCTCCATCCTTTGAAGGGGCGTGGTCAGTCTCAGCCCACAGCACCTGCATCCTGCTCGCCGTACGACTCGAGTGGTGTAAGTGTAGGAAGGTACTTACACGGAAGGTGTGCAGCATTCAGGCTTCGTGGACTGTGCTTCAAGTTAGAGGCTGACTTCTTGATGGATTTGCTTGCGGCTTTCAGTCTGGCCCCTCTGTGGATGAAGACAGCGCGTTTCTTGCCCTTATTGATTCACTTTACTTAGGCTTATTTGTAGCCTAGCCATCTTTCGAGTGTCTGTCGAAATTTCCCCGAGCTTCGCAAAGCGGAGCAACAAAGAAAAACAAATATTAAAATAATATAAAAATAAGGCGCTGTTTGTGTGCGCCCCTGTGGAATGACATAAAACGGCAAAAATTTACAATCCGAAGAATTTCTTCCGAGCGCAAGTAGAACGCTTCTCTCAAGCACCCTATAACGACCTCTCTCCAGCTGTGATTTCCACAATGGATCATGTTCCCTGCTCGAAAATTGTCTGGGCGCTCTTCCATTACCCACGAGTTCAGTCATTCGCATTAGAGGTTTCGTGTTTGACCGCCCCGTGCTTGCGCCTTAGTTACTTACCATTAGATGTCAACATGATTCTGTCTGATACATTGTAGAACTTACCGGACAAACGACGGAGTATAGAGAGGCGAGCAATGAGTAAAACTGTCGTCTCGCTCTGAGTACGTACGACGAGAAACTCCCTTTATACTATGATTGTGGTAGAATATGTCAGAATATGAAATATATGTGGCTGACGTTTATTGTTCAAGAACAAGACGACAAGCAGAAGAAGGATTTCACGATGAAAACAAAAGCCTCCCCCCGAAAACTCACTAATGCACCCATTTAGAGCTTGAATAAAATTTTTAGAACAAAGAAGCCTAGGACAATAGCAATTAGAATTGGTAACCTGAATGCTGAATTGACATTGTTCATGAATACTGATTTCTGCACCTTGAACACAATTGAAATTGATTGCTTCCGGAGAAGGAGACGTTGCGGAGAAGAATCGCCTTTATGTCAGTAATGATTCTGATCGTTTCCTTCAGTAAGAATAATAAAATGAGTAAATAAATAAATCATAAATAAATGAATCGAAGGGGTATATATACAAAACGATAAATCTGTGATGACTATCAAATTTTGATACTTGTACGGGACGGAACCAGATCTTATGTTGGAAGGCGCTGTCAGCATTTATTCTGAAAGAACGCTTGACGAAACAAGGAGAGAGTGCGATTAGAATGTGTGAATGTGAGTGAATAATTAGATTCTTGATGGGCCTTTTACGATAGGCTTTGTCCATGGCGTGTGGGTGTGGCCAGAATTCGTTCTGGAGATGAAATGCTTGGGAGCACTGGGAACGCCTCAGTTAGCCGAGATTGTATGAATACTGTTTACTCGAACACAAATTGAAATTGTTGCTTCTGAGAAGGAGAGTAAGGAGAATCGCCTTTACATTCTGATCGTTCCTCCAATAAGTAAATAAATAAAATGAGTAAATAAAATAAATCATAAATAAGTGAATCAAAGGGATATATAATTACAAAACGAATAAACATTCAGTGCATGACCATCACCAGAATTTGCTGAGTTGTGGGTCAAAGTCGTTGCCCAAAAGGGCGGGAGTTCGAGGCCCGCACCCACGCTCTTCCGGCGAGTGCCGTCCCTATCCGTTACGCCACCAGGGCCGCTTTTACCTTCTCAGCTTAACGGCTTTTATGCCATAGCCTATCAGCACTCACACTTAACTCGGTGTATATAATAAACATAACATACAAACATCAGGGATGACTAAATTTACACTGCCTACTCAACTACCGCATGAGTGATCAAAGACTTATTCGCTGCTGATGCTAGGCAGTGTCAGGGGCTGGGTTTGGCGTGGCTCCATCCTCTTCTCCACAAATTATTGTTGCTTTCCGCGCCGCAACATCTGACGGAGGCGCCACTCCAAGCCAGCCTAACTGAACGCCCTAGGATCCGCAGCAAAAAAAAAAAAAAAAAAAAAAAAAAAAAAAAAAAAAAAAAAAAAAAAAAAAAAAAAAAAAAAAAAAAAAAAAAAAAAAAAAAAAAAAAAAAAAAAAAAAAAAAAAAAAAAAAAAAAAAAAAAAAAAAAAAAAAAAAAAAAAAAAAAAAAAAAAAAAAAAAAAAAAAAAAAAAAAAAAAAAAAAAAAAAAAAAAAAAAAAAAAGAAACCTAGGGTCGCTCAGGGGTCAAATGATCTCCGGATGCAAGTTTGCAGCTAAATATTGTCCCGGCAAAAAATGCCCGTCATAAGCTGGCAGGAATTTCGAAAAGTGTACCAGGAGCGGTTAATAGTACAGTAAAGAAGTACATAATTGAATGAATAAAAGTAACTAAATAGATCGAGTGACGCTTTTCGTCTTTACCCGGCTCGCACAACTTTGAGAGCTCTGACTAAGGAAGGTCGTAAGGTCGAAGTGGCCATTTGTAATGAGATGTAGCTCACTAGACGTGCTTTTGGACGCTGATCTCGAATCTGCCTTTGAAATTTGCAGAACGATTCTCTGAACGGAGTTATGGAGCTTTTTCCACCGCGTTTACCACGCAACAGGTCGTGGGATCGGATCCCTGCTGAGCTTAACTTTTTTGCTTCTTGTGCAAACGTGGCAAAAAAGTGGTTGGCGTTCACTACAACATTAGCGCTCTCCTCGACTTGCCTGAAAAAAAGTTTGTATTCGCTTACTGGCGCGCTTAGTGCCTTATGATCTAGGAGATGTACAGGTGCCCTTGGCGCGCAGTGCAGGCGTTTTCGCGCTGAGCGAGTGCCATATTCGTATTTATGGGTCCAAACTACGCCTAGGTAGAGGTTTCTAGCCAAATCTGCCATTTTGACCTGACTTCGAAAAGTGAAGCATCCATGGGTTAGTTCAGTTGATGTTCACACCTATTCAGCTGCGGATACATTCTCCTGCACGAAGCCTCGTCTTACCCCTTCTTACGCATTCATGTTGTTACTGCTCCAGTTTTCCTGGTATCTAAAAGCAAATTCTGTCCAAAGACAAGCAATCGACAAGAGACTGGCCCTGGAACTATTGGTGACCATCATTCGATCAACTGCTACCGCACTTTTTTCGTTGTAGGTCAAAACCTCACATTTGCTGGAAACTGGTCCCCAAGAGGTAGTTTTTGCCTCCCTTGGCCACGTATTGGCACCCATTTGCATTTGAGTGTTCTTCTATTACTTAAAAGAAGACATTCCCACAAAATGCAACATAGTTGCTCCAGAAATCCGAACCCTTCATAGGCTATCCCGCAATGCAGGGACCTCCCGGCTATTCATGCGAATTGGCCGGCAACCGCGCTCGACTCTGTTTCCTTCGTTTTAATTCTAACAAACCTTCATAATTCCGTTCAGAGAATCGTTCTGCAAATTTCG